GATGTGGGAGGCGCTGCCCCGCTATTGCCGGCTGCTGTTGGGTCCACCACCGCTGCGGCACCGCCGGCTGCGCGCCCGCCGCTGCGTCCCGCGAAGCACCTCCTGCATCCCTGTGCCTGCCCTCACCGCCACGCCACCCCCCGCCCCGCCCCCGCCCCGCCCCGCAGCCGGCCACATGTTCCAGCCCGGCTTCAGCCTGGCCAGCCGCGCCGTCAACTTTGCCTACAAGGGCGCCGTGTTTGCGGTGATCGGGCTGGGCGCGGGCCTGCTGGGCACCGCCACGTCCAACGGCCTGCTGGCGCTGCGCAAGCGCCTGGACCCAAGCTTCAAGCCGCGGGTAGGGCGGGGGCGGGGCCGGTGGGACGGCATGGCTGGCTGGCAGGTGGTTGAGCAGGCGGCAGGTGGTTGAGCCCAGGCGTAGCACACCGCGGGGTTGTGCTGGATACCCCCGCCCCCATCTGAACCTGCTGCTGCGCGCCCCTTCTTCTCCCGTCCCTCGCCCCGCGCCGCCTGCCCCACCCCCCGCAGAACGAGGCCCCCAGCATCGTGGGCAACGCGTCGTGCTGGGCGGTGCACATGGGCGTGTCCGCCAACACACGCTACCAGCTCATCAACGGTTTGGACATGGTGCGTTGCCTGCCGGCTCGCCTGCTGCTGGTATCATGCCAGCGGTGCTCTGCCGCTGGCTCTGGTGGTACTGGCGCCCTGCTGTTGTGCAGCTGCGAGTCCCCTGTGCCGCTTCTCTGCCGCTGCTGGGCTGGGTTGCCTCCGGGCTGCTCTGCCTGCTGTCCGCTGTTTCCCGTGCCCTCCAGCCGCGCCCCTCTTGCTGCCCTGTTCCTGGAGGGCCCGCCCTGCCTCACCCCCCCACACCGCCCTCCCCGCAGGTCCTGCAACCCATCATGCCCTCCCCGCTCTTCCGCCTCTACTCTTCCGTCATCCGCGGCGGCAACAACCTGGCGGGCGGCGTGTCGTTTGTGCTGCTGGCCAAGCTGCTGGGGGTGCAGAAGGCGGCGGAGGCGGCGCCCCTGCCAGAGCCTGTGGGCAAGGGCAAGAAGACGAAGAAGTAGGGGAAACAAGCAGGCAGCAAGCAGGGTGGCGATGCCCTGATGAGCGACGCACCGGCTCGGCCAATGTCGCACTGCTGATTGAGTGATTGATTCATGCCCGCCCCTCGCACGGCAGATCTCAACATGCACCCTGGGCTGGTGCTGTTTAACTGCATTCACCAGAACGAAGCGCTCTCTTCTTCCTCTTCTTCTTCTTCTTCTTCTTCTCATGATGCCAATTTTGCATGGTTATTGCAGCAGGTTCCACCGCTGCACTCTTAGCACTGTATATTGCACTGTTACTGCTACAGCAAAGCAAGCAAGCTGGAGAGCGTGTTTGAACTCATCATTTGTAATGAAAAATACATCAGCGATCACATTTCAACACTTTTAGCAATGCATCCGTGCTGCTTCACGTCTAGGCATGTGGTGGCAGGGCCTGGCAGTGTCATGCCTGCTGCCGCCGGTACCTCTTGCACTCAGCCTTGTGGTTTGGCCAGTCGAGCGTTTGGCTGCAGGCACAAAGGGGCAGGCAGCCGAGTCAGCAAGCGGGGGGTAGCCTCGAAACGGAGTGCCCGCTGCCGGCGGCCCGTCCTCCTGGGTGGAGGGAGTGGATCCCCATTGGACAGACATGCGCCTCACCGCTGGTGCCTCGCCGCCAGCTGGGCAGGACCACGCAGCACCGGCAGCCCGACCCACCAGGTCTTGCTGCAGTACTGCGCCCGGTGGCAGCCGCTGCAGGCGCGCAGCTTGGCCTGGCCCGCCGCCTCCGCCCCCTGCTGGCCGCCGCCCGCCGCGGCCGCCGCCTCTGCCGCCACCTGCGCCGCCTCCTTCTTGCAGTGGGCGCACGCCTTGGAGTAGTCGCGGGTGGACAGCGTCACCTCAGACAGCGTCACGGGCTCGCCGCCCGGCGTCACCGCCTGGCTCATGGGCCGCCTCACTTCCGCGCTCATCTGGTACGACGGCTCCCGCGGCTGCAGGCAGTTGGGGCCAGGGCAGGGGTGGGGCAGGGCGGGACACTGGCTGCCTGATCAACCACAAGGCGACAGGGGCTGGCAACCCCAGCCCGGCGCCGGCGGCCAAGGCGCCAGCGCCACTGCGAGCTGGGCCGCGGCGGCCGCTGGCAGCTGGCCGGCGCGGCCTGCGGCTAGCCCCCCACCCGACTCCCCACCCAACCCAGCCCAGCCCAGCCCAGGCTGCCCAGGTGGCCACCCCAGCCCCACCTGCGAGCCCGTGGGTCCGTCGTACAGGATCTGCGGCGCCGACAGCTGCACCACCTCCTCCAGCAGCTCCTTGGCCAGCTCCTCCACCTGCTCGCTCGCCGTGCCCTGGAGCGCCTGCGGGCCGGGGCGCCACGTGCCGCCGAGTTGCAACACCGCCACGAGTGCCACCCTGCCAGCACCGCAGCAGCGCGCGGCGGCGGGGCTGCGGGGCTCTGCCCTGCACTGCACGCATTGCACCCCACACATCTCCCCACGCGCGCCGCTCAGGCTCACCAGCAGCCTCGAGGCCATGCAACGGAAGAAGCGCTTGTCTGCAGGCCCAAGGGGAGGCATGGCAGCAGGCGGCGTCGACGAAAGAGGCGCGAGCCGGGGCGGCAGCACGCCTCCAGAGCCGCCCTGCCGGCGCCCCAGCCGCAAGAGCAGCCCCCGCTGCACCGCTGAGCACACACACACAAGCGCTGCGCTGCAGGAGGTGAGCTGGCAGCGCATGCACTCTCACAGTGGCCCCGGTAGCCGCGGTCCTCCTTGATGCGCTGCAGCAGCGGCTCCCACCCTGCACCACGCGCCGGGCGGGTGGCAGCCGCGCAGGCGGGGTGGGTGGGCAAGCGGCTGCGGCCGGGGGCCGGGCGCTGCGGCTGGCTGGGTCGGCGACGAGGCATGCACTGCCAGGGCACCGGCAGCGGTCCCCGTGACGCAGGCGCGGGGAGCGAGCGGCGCCGCCCCTGCAGCCGCCTCCGGACGCGGGGCGGGCGTGGGGCGGGCTTGCCTGCGTCCCGCAGCTTCTGGACGACTTCCTCCGGGACCATCAGCATGCCGTAGCCGATGGCGGCGAAGCAGTTGCGCAGCAGGCCGCCGCCCGCGGCCTGGCAGCCCTCCCGCCCGCAGTACGCCTCGTACTTGGGCGTGTACACCAGGTCGTACCCCACCTCCATCATCGCGCTGAGGCTGGGGATCGCGCCCTCCAGCCCCAGCAGCTCGCTGTGGGCCAGCACGATGTCTGTAGGGGTGTCCGCGTCCGCCTGGGGGGGGGGGGGGGGGGGGGGGGGGGGGGGGGGGGGGGCCGGGGGGGGGGGGGGG